GAAAAAAGAACAAAGGATACCTTAAATTATTTCATCTTTAAAGAGATTTTAGTAAAATACTTAATGAAACAATTAGATGGGTATAGACTCATTGTGTGAACCCTAATCTCATAATACATTTTACTTATTATCAAAATCAAATTGCAAAAATTTCCCTTTTATCTCATTTCAATTAATTAACAATAATTGTGCAAACCAAAACATGATCCTCTTAGATCGATATTTTAATTACTTGGTGACAATCTATGCACTTGTAGATTTTTTGCACATTATAACTCTACTACAACTCAACTTTCATTCATAATCAACTTACAACTTAAGCAACTTAAACATCACTATACATCATCTTAGATCAATGCATTATAAACTAGAATCTTACAACAATATAAATCGTGTGAGTAATTCCATCTAACTCATGTCCGACCTCGTATAGACAGGGAGCCTCTGCCTAACTCATGTCCAATGTTAAAACATTGGTGTTCGACGTCGTTTAGGCAGAGAGTTCTTATCTTGATCATGCTTGATGCCACTCAACTAGGGTCTGACATCACTAAGTCAGAAAGCTCTAAGGACATCCATGTCCAACACCATTCAACCCACGCCTAACGTGACCAAGTCAAAGAGCTTTCCTCTAACTCACACTCGACGCTACAATCTTGCTCCTGGCGTTAGTACTAGTGAGGTAGAAAATCTCTAGCCTGTATCATGCCCAATGCCTTGAAGATGCGCTCGACGTAATGAGGGATTATGCACTTGGTAGATTCGTGAATTTGACTCATTTGCATTTGAAACTCAAGAAATCCAAGCATGCAATGCACCAATTCATACTTACAATTTCCAGGTAACTAAAATACAACAACAAAAATCACATGCAACCATTGCAAAGTAATATCCACTAAGTTCTTATCATTACTATTAAGAACATCAAAACTTACAACTTTCAAATTTCCATCTCAAACAATCAATACAACCACAAATTCAATAAAATTCAAACAACATACACATCATAGATCAATAAGGAATTGAGTTATATCTTTCCTTACCTCAAAATTTGAGAGAACATGGAAGGAGGAAAAAGAAAATGAGCCCCATAGGAAGCTCCGCCCAACACTTAGAATTTTTATTCATAGCTCTCCAAGCTTGAATCTAAGCACAGCAACTCCACTCAGCTTCAGGAAGGGATCAGTGGTCAATTAAAGAATCAGAAGGAAGGAGAGTCACTCATGATTTTAAAGTTTCTCTCTGTAAACTCTTTCTCTAAGTTTCTTAAAAAAATGAACTTATGTTGTCCATTTATAAAAAAAAATTATATAATATTTACTACTAGTTAACTTAACATCTACTCAAAATTTGGCAACAACTAATCAACTAAGTACCACAACATATAATTTAATAAAACAACATTTATTAATAAAATTCAGTGTTACAAATGTCACATCACTTAAATATATATAAACATTAAAATTTAATAATTAATAGATGATAATTTGATGAAAGATCTAAAATTTTATATTTTTAAAATTGGAGAAACTAAAAGTCTCTATTTTAAAATTGAGGGATAAAACATACAATTTAGCCATAACTTTTTTTATTAATCATCTCTTTCAAAACGGAAATTAAAATTTATAATATAAAAACAAATAAGATAATTAATCTTATGCATTACGGACTTGTTATCGTGTAACCATATTACAAGTTTCACTGTATGCATGTGAGGGGTTAATGGTTATCCACGTCTATGTGCCTGAGGTGGCAGTGGAGGAATTATCTTGTCCATTCTTTCAATAACGTTGTATGTGTTTCCCGTTTTGTGGATGGTACGGACCAAATGTGGGGTTTAGGCCCGTAGCATGTGCTCTGCCACCCCTCCATTATTTTATTACCCGTATCATCACCCCCAATAAATTCAAGTTACACCTGCCAAATCTTACACATCCACTATCTAGGACAACTTGCGAATATACTTGAAACTGTCGATGCTTTAAAGATTTTTTAACATTTAAGATTTGATCCCGTATTTTGAATATATGCTATGATTTGTCAAGTACAAAAGTTGATATGAAGTTGTAGTTGAAAACCAAAACTAATACGCACTCATTTAACGTGTGTATCTTGCGGTTCAATCATTATGAGCGACCGTGTCTTATATGTGTGGATGTGAGGTGCTTGGGAATTTGGGATACTAGTCTTAAGAAATGTAAATTACGCCCTACATTAATCATATAAAATCGTTTGATAAGATAAAATATTATTTCTTCCTTACATTCATAGCCTTATTAGTTTATGTGAAATATGCAACATGACTAACGATGCGATGGAAATGGGCAACTCTGGTATATAAATTCGGGTTGTGGTGGATCTTGATGTAGAGCACCATGCGGATGAATAATGATTCTAGAATGTAGAATGTTTATCCACTCATTGCTTTTGGTTAATGATGTACACAATGCACCACTTGAATGGCTACCACGCGAAGCATTGCTAACCCAAAACTCCCTGTGTCTCAAAGTGGCTCCAAGTTTGTTTGGAACAAGACTGTATAGTGTTAAGAAAATTATATTGGCTTAGGCTTAGGTGAAGGTGGTGTGTATATGTGTTCCATTGAATTTGGTTAGATAAGGGTGAGTGTTGTTCTGATATGTTTAAAAGTCTCACGTTGCTTATGAGTCGAGACTAAGGATAGTTTATAAACACTCTTCCTCTTTAATCTACCAAGACCCGGATGCGGTCATCCTAACGAATTTACGGTAGGAACATGTATGTTTATATTTTATCTACGCGTTTCCACTTTGAAGGAGCTGAACAAGAAAGGAAACAGTTGTCGAACGTTATTTCTAACAGAAACAAGTTATGGAAGTATATTGTTGAAGTTAATTGCTTTGCGTGGATACTTTTTGGGCTAGTGAGTTCGATACTCGATTTAGTGAATGTTTTAGTAGAGTATTACTGTATTACTATTAGTAACAAAAAAATGATTTTTTAACACGCCACATGCTATTAGTAAAGTGGAAAGACTTGTACTTATAAATAGCGACGTTCTTCGTTATTTATAGGTTTCAGGTGACATAATTATGTGAGTTTGGGTCAATTGACGTCAATCTATGTTTATTATTCCCTTGCACTATACAATAATGGTGTGTTTGGATGAGAAAATTTACAAATTCAAGGAATTTTAAATTCTTAGTATTTGAATTACTTTGATTTTAATTTCTATCATTCTTAAAATATTTTGTTTGGATAAGTTAATTCAAATTTATCAAATTTTAACTTGTTGGAGATAAGATATAAGATAAAATATATAAGTGAAATAAGAAGAAAAAAATACAAAAAATTTCAAATTCTTACTTTTTTGGGAGAATTTGAAATTCTATTATTTCAAAGAATTTCAAAAATACTTGAATTTCAAATTCCTTATAAATTCTCTATCCAAACAAAATATTTCACCTCAAAGAATTTGAAATTCTTCAAATAAGTGAATTACTCCATTTAAATTCTCCATCCAAACACACTCTAAAGGAAAAGCGATATAATGTGTCACTATATATTATTTAAAAATAACTATTTTTTTAAAAGAGAAAAATTATTTGATTTATGAGAGGGAAAGTTTATTGGGATAAAAAAATATCTTAAAGAAAAATAAATACTAAAAAGAAATATCTCCATTATTATTAGTATAAATATACTCTGTTAGTAGGTATTGGGTAAAGTATCTTCAAATTAGGGGTGTTTCTAACTGGTTTCTAAGTAATATTAAGTGATATGATATTAAGTTTCATTATTACGTCAACAAACTAAATTAATCCAAATTTTTCTCATACGTTATTATTGAATTTTATTTAGGATAAATTTAGATTCAAATAAACGACTCGTTAATATTTTGTATCGAGTACGAATAAAGATAAATTCACTCTAACTTCTTCTAAAACAGTGGTAAAAATGATGCTTGGTTGTGTGTACAAAATGTTTTAACCCTAAATCTGCTACAATTTTACGCTCATCACATTTGAAATATATTATATTCTTTGATTCTTGTGGGCCTTGACAGTGCTTGGTGGGTTAATAGAAAATAGCTCTTATAAATTATCCTATCCATGATTGCCAAGTAATATGAGTCTTTATATAGAATAGAAGAATTGCCCCTAGTTGGGGCTAAAGGTTTGGCAGATTAGGCTATCATATTCAAGTATTATTAAGTATTGTCCACTTTAATTGTTGTGGGCATTTATAATTTTGTCATTTAAAAGAGGGATAAGTGAGTATAAATTAGTCGTACTTAATTCCTAAGCAATGAATACATTAAATACGTTAGAATCCAAGTATATAACAATAAATACAGTAAACTTTTATGGGACAGGTGTATAGGGTGGTTCAGGCTTTGTGGGCTTAAAGCCAGTCCAGAACAACATGTAGCTAAATTTACAGAATTAAAGCGTGGAGGCGAAGAATAGGGGAAATAGCGTTTGTGGTATTGTTTCAACGAAATTTGGGAAGACCTAATGAAAACGAAAGCAGTGATAGTGGGACATAAGAAAAAGATAAGCTTTAATAGTGGGAGTCAGAAGAAGAATGAAGGTAGTGATGCACACACAATTGACAAATAAGAGGGAATACTTGAAGAATAAGACGTGGACGAAATTATTGATAGTTACACAAAATTACTAAGATCAACAAAATGTGTCTCAAGTTTCTCACAATTTACGTTAAAATCATGATTCTGGAACTGCAAAATTCCAAAATTTAAATAACTTTGGCCTCTGCTGCAAATTGTAAGTAGCATGGCCTTGATTGATTACTTTATTTTGGAGAGAATCCAGTATCCCTTTAATCAACATGGTTTCCCAACTTTATTTTTCACAGAAATAGAAATAAAAAATGGAGTCGATTTTGGAAAGAGAAAAGAGTGATTAGCCGAAGTTGGGTTGAGAATCTTGCCCTGAAGCGACGGTGAAGAGCGTGGGAAGTTGCTTTCCTCGCGACATTTGTCTTTAGCCTTGGTACTGTTTTGCTTATACCCCCGCCATAAATGAATTGAAAGGCAACAAAAGTTGGTACTACCCACACCATGACTGATATGACATGCATGATGCATCTGTTACATCTGCTCTCATCCTGGCCATGTAAATCAAATTAACAAATAAAAATATCATATTTCATCTGGGTCGAGGTAAAGTAAAGCTGTGTTGTGTACATGTGTGGATACTGATTAGCCGTATCCCTTTCAATTGGTACCCATCACAATTATTTATTGCTAATATAGTAGTAGTTGGCTCATATGGTAAAAGTATATATTATTTTTGTGGTCCTAATTCCCAATGACTCCCGCAGTAAAAATCATCACTTAATAACTCAAACAAAGCAGCAAAATGGTGACAAAAAAAATGGCATGAAGAAACTGATACATGGGCATGGTTTTTATTTTAATGTAATATAAATTGAAGTGTGTACTTTGGAATTTAAAGTACCAAGGAAGTAGGAAGTAGGAAGTAGAAAGAGGGAAGTGTGAGGTGAGGGGATTAGTGATTACTACACTACACTAGAAACACTAGGCTTTTTCTTTTGTTTCAAAGTACTAGTGTACCGAAAGAAAAAAGATAGAAGTTGGACTTGGAAGTGGGATGCTGGAGTCGAGGCTTACATAAAAACTGAAAAAGGAGTTTGGCTTTGTGCAGCCGTTGTCAAGAGTGGACGTGACATGAGGGAGTGGGGAAGGCCCATACAGCGTCAGTCTTATGCCAAAGCCTGTTTTCATCACATAAAGGGGTTATTTACAGCGCTCAGGCTGCAGAATGTACCCTTTACCCATCAATGTCTTCACTGCACATTCAATGAGCAATACAATACTATCATATCAAATATCTATATATACTCCTATCTTCATAAATCATAAATAATAAAATACTACACCACTATTTATTTACTAGATAGACACAGACTACGGGTCAAGCTAGTGACACATTTGCTCACCACCACAACGTCACATAACGTAGTCATGGACATTAATTTCTTAAAATATGACCTACCAATAGCAAATTCACAGGACACCATGTGCACGTTGTAGGTGGCACGAGAGTCTAGCACTGTTGTAGCACAACGATGTTTGTCCCCGGAATAAAAGCAAAGCATATGTCACTGTGAGAGAAAAATTAACCATGGGGTAAAAAAAAAAAAAGAATCTGAGTATGTAACCGGATTCTCTTGGGTTACTTTATAACGAAGCTGATATTAGGTATGTTTTGTCATTTTCCTTGCAGTGTTCATGGTGGTGTGTACGAATATGGCTATGGATGTGCAATTATGTAAAATATGTAAGAAAAGAAGCAGGGGCAATAGTATTAAATATATGGGTGAGGGCATGGCATGGCATTGGCATTGGGAAGGGGAGAATTTAAATGGTCTTTATTATACAGGTACTTTTTGATAGTAACCTAACCCTCCCACTCTCCTTTTCTCAAGAGGTGTGACCAGACCCCACCCTTACACAAAGGAAAAGATTGAACACTAACATCAAAAGGCCATGGTAATGGTAAACCCTCTAAATTATTGGGGAAGACAAAAGAATGAGAAAGAAAGGTGCCCCTTCTTTCGCTTCTACTAGTACTACTACTATACTCAAACAAAACCAAATTGTGGAATGAGAATGGCAACAGAGAGAGAGAGAGAGTAGTAATTGACCCATCAAACAAACCAACATAACCCATCCCATGTAATGTAAATTGTAGAGAGAGTGAACACTGCCACTGTGTGTATATAGTATGTAAACTCCTCCCAACAGACAGACACGCCTCTCAATTATTTGTGTCCATTTCTTCTTCCCATATTGTTCTCGTGTGTTGTGTGTGTCAGTGTTTTGGTGTGTGTGAGAGTGAGTCATTAGATTAGATTGGAGTGAGAGAGAGGAAAAAAAAGAAAGAAATAGTGTGTTGTGTTGTTGGGTGGTTTACACTCTCCACAACGCCAAGATGCCACGCCCAGGGCCAAGGCCTTACGAGTGCGTGAGGAGAGCTTGGCACAGCGAGCGCCACCAACCCGTCAGAGGTTCCATCATTCAGCAGATTTTCAGGTTTTGGGTTCTTCTCCTTTCCCCTTTTTCTCGGCCCCTTTTTCGCGCATGTGCATTCCTTTGACGCTGTTGCACGCCATGTGTTTGATTAGGGTCGTCAATGACGCCCACAGCCCCGCGACCAAGAAGAACAAGGAATGGCAGGAGAAGCTCCCCGTCGTTGTTCTCAAGGCCGAAGAAATCATGTACTCCAAAGCCAATTCCGAGGTTTCTAGTTTCGCAAATGCTTGTGGAATGTGGATTCTTAGATCTTTTCACTGTGTTGCCTGAAACCCCTTTTGCTTATTTTTTTTTTGTGATTTGCTTGCTTAGGCAGAGTACTTGAATCCTGATACGCTCTGGGACCGCCTCAATGATGCCGTGAACACAATCATACGGAGAGATGAAACCACCGAGACGGGTGACCTCTTGCCCCCATGTGTTGAAGGTACTTCATTTTGCATTTTTGGTGGATCCTCCATTTGAGTGTCTGTCAAAATCCTATTTTGATGTGTCATTGCGTCGGGTGTAGAGTGAAGATTAGCAGTTTTGAGCAGCCACTGATGGGTTTTTTCTTTGGTTTTCTGGGTTCATTCTTCATGTTGATCACAGCCGCACTTAACCTGGGTTGCAAACCTGTGAGAACTTCCAGAAGTGATCGGCACAATAACCCCAGGACTTACCTTTCCCCAAGAAATCAACAACCTCCTGCGTCTCCTAAACCTGTTGGTGGGAATCCCTTGAACTATGCCAAAGTCACAACTTCTGCAGTGTCACAGATTCCTGTGTCAGATAACTACCCCTTCTCGGAAAGCCTCCCTTCTGCTCGTCATCATCAGCGATTGACAATGGAAGCTAGACCCTCACTGAACTTGGGTTCAGTTTACCCATTGTACTACGGTTATGAAGCTAGAGAGCCTCAACCAAGAACGACCGCCAGAGATACCACTTGTTCTGACACAATCTTTGTTGGAAGACCAGTCATTCCAGTCCCAGAACCATCTGGAATTGGTCTGTTAGAAAACTTCTCCTATGGTAGATTCCAACACGTTCCAAACAGAATGGCTATAGAAAGGGCTGTAGGCACCCAGGAGGCACCAGATAGGGAATGCGATTTGTCTTTGAGGTTGGGTCAATGTCTGCATCCGTGTTCAAGCAGCAAAAGTAGTTCAGCATTTGAATTAGATGATATTGGTTTAGGAGTTTCACTCGAGGGCAGCAAGTTTAGCCATCTATCTTTGCAGAGAAATAAAGAGTTCTGTTTTTATCCTAGAGAGACACATTATGGTACCCTTGACTCCTCCACTTCTGGTAAATATAATGTAGAGGGTGATGATCAGAACTTAGAGGCAACACTTCGGAAGCGCAAAGCACGTTACAACGAGGAGGATGGGCAATTTTGCCGGCATCTAGGGGTCCCATCCAATCGTTTTACTGGTAGGCCAGGTTCGTAGACAGTCTTTCCTGTTTGTATCATATATGCATTTGCAATTCTAGATGATCGAAAATGTTGTTTAATCCTCTTATGTAGACTCTTTTTATGTGTAGCTCTGCTTGTGAAAAATTTTATAAGCTGGCGTTGAGTTACTAATTGCATTTCTGCCAATGTGAACTGTATATAAAATCTTAGCTTGCTTGTTTAATTTCTGCCTGGGTCTGAAAATATCATAAGAGCAAAGAAAGAAATCATTTATATCTTAAATATTATGAAGAGTTCTAATTTAAATGGGATGCATGGCAAAAATATCACGGGTGTATAAAGTTAGCCCTGCTAGCTCAGACTCTAATCTGCTAACTGGAATCTATGTTTTCTCTGTCAAGATTAGATTCCTAAACCCAAATAGGCTTCTGACTTTCAGTGTTGTCAATTAATGCAAATTATCAATTTAAATGCGATACATGTCCCAAGGTGTGCTCTTAATTATTAAGTTGTCAGTGACAAAATAACTAGAAAATCTAGTGACATTTACTAAAGGGTGGTTCTACAATATAGTCCAATGGTTCCTCCAAGAACTACAGCATGGATGCGCCAGCTTCTCCAGCCATTACCTATACAGTTTTTACGCTTGATAGTTTAAATACCATCCTACTAAACACTAACAGCATACCCTCTAGCTCCCATAAAACTATATCTGAATCATAGTTTTGAAATCCGGAGCAGGAAGCAAAGGAGATTATAATATTGTGAGAGGACATGATTATGTCTGAAAAATGGTTAAATTTATGAATTTTTTTTTGTCAAGGCCATGTCAAAATTGTTAGGAGTTGGTTGCCTGATTAGGAAAATGTTCCAACATACACCCCGTAGGTGTATTTTTTGTCTTTAAATAAAGAAGAAAGAAAAAAAGAAAAAAGAAGCAAATTCATATATGTAAGAAAAATGTGATAAAAAGTAAAAAGTAAACAAGTAGGTGGAAGAGGATCTGAACAGATAAATGTAATTACTCCTCTGATTATCTGGTTGGACAAAGCTGTAGGTGACGGGACTAAGGCTTTGACCAGACTCAAAATATGCCTGTTCAACTTTGTAGAAAGGTCGAATGAGGAATTCTTTGGTGGGCATTGCTGCCTACCATATACAATCTGTGCATCAACATTAAATAAATGTGCTGCTATGTTGATCAGATATGCAATTATTTCTTAAGAATGCCTTTACACCTGTCAAGTATTGAACTGCTCGCCCAAAGATTTTCTGAGGATCCTGTGTACTTGTCGGATTCATGGACCACATTAGCAGTGTCCATGCTTGGATATGGACAAGGAATCAGTTTGAAGTCTATCCGTCCAAGTGTGTTAGGAGTGAGTTTCAAGACATCATAAGGATAATAACATAACTTCGATATGGTATCTTGAGATTATTAGCACAACTTCCTGCAGTACCCGGGGCCGATTTAAGATGGGCTTTTGGTCCTTACATTTGGCTAAACAAAGATAACTCTTGTTACGGGGCCTTATTGACTCTTGATTTGTAAAAAATGAAATTTGGTTAAGGCATAGGTATTGGAGTTATTATTTGACATGTGGGGTCCTATTAAAAACGCACTTAAGATAGCCTTTATTGTAGGTGTCAAATAATAAATTAATGAAGTTTTTTTCGTTTTTAAAATGGGGGTCTTCATAAAATTTTCTCGGCAATCAGTCTTCAACTCTTTGTACCTGAGGGGCGTTTATGAATTCAGTGCTGTTGAACCCTCGTTAAAAGGTCATGACAGCAACATGAACCTATCATGAGATGGAAAATTAAACGATGGAAAATTAAACATATTCATGGCTAGCTAAAGTTTAAGAATTAAGAGTAATGTTATAACAATTCTCTTGCGAGTTTTCTTGCCATCTTAAAGAAATTTTTTAAAAGATAAATGTTTAATGTTTTAACGTATAAGCACAGTAATATTTATTACTATTTTTAATCTGTAGAAATTGCGTAAGGATTATGATCATCTCAAACATAGTTTGAATTTAGGCGTATGTCCATACTATTTCAATTTTTCATTAACATACTATGAAAGAGTAAAATGACATTATGTCATTATATATTATTATTTTTTAATTATTCGTATTGAAAATTGTTCTTGAAGATTACATGTACAGCCGTTTTCAAATATGAATTACACATTAAAAAAAATTACACATTAAAAAAAATTGTAACTTCAGCAAAAATATTTATATTGAAAAATTAGAATATAATTAAGAGTTTATCTAAAAAGTATTTAAGTGAAATATTAATAAAGCCTAAATATAATTTTTTGTGCTTCAAATATGGATTTAGTTTGTTTTGGTTCTTTAAATTTTAAAATTACTTAGTCCTTAGAATTTTGAAATAACTCACTTTTAATCTTATTAAGGATCAAGTGATCACAAAATATGGAAATAAGGACTAAAAGTGGATTATTTCCAAATATGAAGAACTTAAAAAGAAAACTTTCACAATTTGAGGAATAAAAAAAAAATTCAGTTAAATTTGAAAGATAAAAAACATATTTAAACCTATTAATAAATAGTTGTGTTATTAGAAAAATAATACTTTGGTTGCTTTTGAAGTAAGGTACTTGAGGTAAATTGAAAGATTCAAGATATATTATTCAAGATGGAGAAAGTGTTTTCTACAAATATAAGTTGGATTTATGGCATATGATAAACAATACATTCATTTTTAGTTTGATAGACATAGGAAATCCTGAGTTTTACCACGCGGGATTATTTATAAGATTATTATAGAAATGCATTCTTTTACTCTACTTTCATTTCATTTTCATTTATTTATTTATATCTCTCGTCTTGCCTTCCAAGTTTACCCAAAATAAAATTAACCTTAAGCATTATGTTAGTTTCGTCAACGTCATGCAGTAGTAAGTGTTCCAATTGTGTTTGCAAAATCGTTTTTGTTATCCATTGATTGTTATATGTTGCTTAATGACGTTATCCTCACTCACTCTAGTCACCCTCGAAGCACATCATATAGACAATTTACGTCAATCAAAATAGTATGGATGCATCCTGTTGCCTGGGATTGATGTAACCTTCACAAACAAATGAGATGAGCATGGACCTCTCTGAATTCATTTCCTGAGATTGAGAATGAATGATGGGACAAATCTTTTTTAATTTTGCTTTAAATACCCTCAGACCTTACTTTGTCTCCTAAATTTAAGGCTTCATGCTTCATGTACTCTCTTTTTGTTTCACATAAGTTAAAGGAGGGGACAGATTTTAACTTAAATGAATAAGCCAAAGCCTGATACTTAAAATTCACACTCCTAGACTCACTAAATTAAATGAATCAAGTTATTTGAAACATTTGAATTCTTTTAGCTTATTTATAGCTTAATTGTTTCATTTTTAATTTTTATATTTTAAAAATTAATTTTATTAATTTCACATTAGATAATATATGATAATTAACATATAGAAACGTGTTTAACATGTAGTACGTGAAATTCAAACAGTTTAGACTATTTTACTTTTGTAATTTAGTAAATAAAAATTTCATAACTTATATATTACTAAAAATATATTTTTCACAATAAATATATAAATAACAAAAATTGGTAAATAGTCATCAATTTTTTTTTTATCATTAATACTTAGCAATGTAAATAACTTAAAAATGCTTATTATAGACTATGTTATTTAACGGTGATTAAGCAGTATGCACAAAGTTTTAATTTGGATGGATAAAAAAAAAATTGGGTGGATAAAAAAAATACGCACAAGGTCCAATAATAATGATTATAAACTTACTCTTTTTTTTTTTTTTTAACAGTGACTATAACTTACCAAAAGCATCTCAAATTAAAGCAAACAATTAAAAAAACTCCAGAACAAATTAAAGATCAGGATTATTGACCCAGCAAATAATGCAAATAGGCCCAAGCAATTAGCGCATAAAGAAAAGAAAAGAGGCTTTCACAGTTTTACTATTTACACCCTCGTTTGCAAAATACATTTATATTTCCTTTTTCTAGTATCTCTTTTACTATTATAAATTCTCTTTATACAAATTATATTTTATATAAAAAATACGCAAATGCTATATTTTAGGTCTCATCTCCATTGTTTACTAAACCGTATTTTTTTTTCTGTCTATCAAATAAGTTAACCTTTATTTCGTATCATTATACCTTTATTTTTTGTTTATTCAAAGAGAATACTTCAACCTCAATATTGTGTGCAATCCGTACTTAATTGTATGCATCAACTTCAATGTTATGCGTTGTTCTTAATTTCATTGTATCATCATGTCCACGTTATCCAATGAGGTACGTCATTAACACTTTTTTTTTTTTTTAAATTCTAAGAAGTATTTTATGGAACATGATATAATCACTCTTCCAAATCGCACATTTGGTATAAATGAGTATGTCAAATAACATAGGTGTAAAAACAACTTGTAAATATAATATCTTATAAAATTTTGAATTAAGATGTAATGTTAATTTTTTTTTCTATTGACTTATCATTTATTATGCAGTTTTTTATGCGCTTAATCTTCTTGTATTTCTCAACATAACTTTATCTTTAAATATTTTTATTAAGAAAAAACACAATTATTTAAAATCTCTTATTGTTAATCAAATGGAAAGGGGAAACAACTTTTGCAAGATTATTAATTTATTGTATGGAGGGGTTACATTTACACTATTGACTTTTACTTTTTTATTTTCTTTGATTAAAGTATTCTTACATTATTGTGAAATTGATCTACTATTTTTTAATAGGAAAGGAGTACATGGACAAGAACATAATAGAACTTCAGTCGTTATGAATGTATCCAACTCCATCACTAAACTGGCTTTTGAAACTGAAGTTGAAAAAATATGCAATCAAAACATTTTTTTTCCTCAAATATTCTTTGTTATCCAATATGTAATACTACAATTTATATTCCCAAGATGCTCTTTGAATATTAATCTCGCACATTCTTCAGAGACAGGGTTGCATGCAACTAACTAAATTAGGTTATAAAAATGAAGCCAAAGAATTAGTGCTCTTTGAATACACAAAATACATGCATGTGCATCAAGACTTTTACATTATTTTATTGGTGTGGTGTGAATAACTTTTTTATTTTTATTTTTGTTTTTATGAGTATAATACCACAAAATAATTTATACAATAAATGAAGAAAGCCCAAAACGTGTTTTTTTTTTTTTTTTTTTGGGTTCAATTATTATTGTTGGTACAATTCTTATAAATTTAAAGTTTATTTTTTATGTCCTAGTAAATAGGAAGCCAAATTTTGAGGTTTTAGGTGGGCACGGAAGGTCCATCTGGGAGACTTTTTATTTTTATTTTTAATAAACATTACTGTCTAAAGAAAATTTTTTCAACGAGATTTTTCCCCCCTATTCTAAACTAATAGGATGAATATTTGATTTATATAGTGACTTGTTAATATAAATGGCACATTAAAAAAAATCATACTTAAAACCAAGTTATGCTATAAACACGATTTCTATTCATAATAATAATTGTTTTTTTTTCTTGATAAAAATAGTAATTTAATAAAAAATTGTTTCTTATTATAACTTTTTCCAAAAGAAAAAATTGATAAACTTCTCTCCTAAATACTTTCAAGTTACAAGAGGAAATAAACTTCTCCCCTAAATACTTTCAAGTTACAAGAGGAAAGAAAAATGAAATGATAAAATAAATAATTTTTGTACATAAATTAAAATTAAATAATATACTTTGATTTTGGGAGAAGTTCGATGATTTTTTTCTCTCAAAAAAGCAAGAAGGATAAATTAATTTTAATTTATAATTTTTTTATTCATTTGACTTTCTTATTTTCTCCTCTGCTCATTCAAATTGGACTAGAATCATAATTTTAGAATTCTAAATAATAATAATAAAAAAGCAGGTTATGTGCTTGTCTGGTTAATGACTTATTATTATTATTATTATTTTTTACGGAAAGTTAATGACTTATTGTTAGTTAACTTGATTTTTGTCTTTGGAAAATGTCTGTTTTGCAAAATAAATTTTTGTTTATAGTGATATAATAAAGGCCATATATATGTACATGTGTACATAAGTTATGTTAAAAATAAATTTATAAAAAAAATTAAAAAAAAATTAGATTAACGAGAACTTTCATTTGAAAAAAAAAATAAAATAGTTCAATGCATCCTTAAGAAATACTTAATTTGGAGTCACTATTTTGATAGTACTCTTGTGCATTTATTGTGTGCATCCAAATTCCAAAACGCAGCATTAGTTGGCAATACGCGTGCATTGCTGAAGAATTTCAGTTCCTGAAAAACAAAGTTGCTCAAATTCCACTTTCAGCTGCTTCATTTTGACTTTGAACAAGATGCAAAATAAACAACTGGTTGACAAAAATGATACAAATATTCGTTTCTAGAAGTAATTCTGATCCTGTTCAACATGAACACCATCACTTTTGCTTTCATTAGTACAAATATTAAAGGAGGATGCAATTCATATTTAATATATCATTTTCTCATTGAATTTTGGTTAATTTTTAATTAGATTCCTATTTTTTCTAAATTAGATAATTCATCATTTTATGTTTTTTTAATTTAGTCTATGTGTGAAAAGTTCAATTACAATTT